AATTGCTCTTTGTGCATGCGCAGAAGTGGCGAATCGCGACCCGCACATGCGCATGCGCAGACACGGCGCTGTGAGTTGCAAACGCTGCGGCTTGCAAACATGCCTCCCGCATGGATCACGTTCGCAACCCAAGGTTCCACTGTAAAGGGAATCAGGTTTCTAGATGCTGCAGGTTTAAAAGCAAAACAAGTGTCATTCCAGAAAGCATGCACCTCAAGTGGCTGTCACCCTCTGTACCAGCAACACCCACTGCAAAATCTGATATTTCACTGCCTGGGGTGTGGCTGTGTGAGGATGTAGTTCCAGCTCTCCTTGCGCAGAAGCCACCTCTGTTTTCCCCAGCCCTTTTACTATCCCACCTCTCAAACATCAACAAATAATATTTCCCAAATCTGCAAACAAAAAAAACCCAACTCACCGTTCTGCACGCATGGCTGTGCAACCAAGCAGAAGGCAGGCCATTAAGGATAAATTAACGTCAGTGAGAAATGTGCCGCTTCAGGATCGGATTGCTGCAATGCACTCTGCGTGGGGCTTCCCTTGCGCTCAATCCAGAAGTTGCAGCGCTGTTGCCTACAGGAGGGAGACCCTGTCGGAATACAACACCTGCGCCGGTTGCCCAGTTGCTGCCAGGCAAAGTTCAAGGTGCTACTATTAGTATACAAAGCCCTTAACTGCTTGGAGCCAGTTTCGTTGCAGGATTGCATAACCCATATAGGCCCACTCAACACTTGCAACCTGCAGAACTGGCACCATTCCAGGTGCCGCGCAATATTCGATCCATGTTGGTAAGAAATTCATCTTTTAGTGAGTGTGGCATTACCGAAACTCTGGAACTCACCATCTACAAATGCCTTCACTGTATTCTTTCCAGTGCCTGCTTAAAACATTTCTAGTTACAGGTACCTGTACGTAGCCGTGTTGGTCTGCCGTAGCTGAAACAAAATAAAAAAATTCCTTCCAGTAGCATCTTGGAGACCAACTAAGTTTGCTATTGGTATGAGCTTTCGTGTGCATGCACACTTCTTCAGATACATGCATGCACATGAAAGCTCATACCAATAACAAACTTAGCTGGTCTCTAAGGTGCTACTGGAAGGAATTTTATTGTTTTGTTAAAATGTTTCTGATTAGGAAAGCCTATCCAAAGATGTAGAAGCTGCACATGTGCTATCTCTTCTCAGCTACTGTTGATTTTAATCATCTTTTGAATGTTTTTACATACTTGGTTTTAACTGTAGTTTAACAAAAATATTTATGTTTTATTCCATATTTCTGTACACTGCTTAGCCCCGCCCCCTACAAATAAGATACAAGTCTTCTCAAATAAATGATTTTTTAAAATCTGTCTGTCGCAGCATAAACAACCAAGAGTCTTGTGGCACCACCTTAAAAGCTAATAATTTCATGGTTAGGAAAGAACCTGCTTCACTAGGCTAGCCCTTGAAAGCTATTGCCACGGGAAAATTTCATTTAGTCTCTAAAATGTGTCACAACATATTGAAATTAAGATTTGTTTTTCAATGTATTTGATAGCTTTGTTTTTTCCTGGAATCAAGAGAGTTATAATTACATCGGGGGGAGTCTGGGTACTTCTGTTAAATGGTGGATCAGTTGCATATGTTTATCTACGCAGCTGTAATTTTCATTATATTTAAGTGCCACAAGACTCTTATCTTCACCTAAAAGTTTCATTCCAATATGAGAAAGCGGGGCCTGATCCAGGGAGGTCCAGTGCAGTTTGGGGCCTGATCCAGCGAGGCCCAGCACACACACACACACACACTTCTACTTAGGGCAGTGCAATCGGCCAAGCCTTGGAAAACCCCGTGTCACCCTGGGGAAACAAAGCCATCAGCCACAAATCTGTCACCAGTGCCTCTCTGTTTCTGGCTAGGAGATTCTGCAATTGCTCTGCTCAAAAAACAACAACAACTAGCTTTGAGGAAACACAGATACCACTGAACAACCAGATCCGTCGCAACAGCCATCCTCCTTAGTCAGCCTGCAGGTTAACTAAGGAGCTGGTTTTTTCTTCATTCTAGTGATACAATTTAAGATCCTTTCCACATGAGAGAATTGTAACCCAACACCACACACACACACACACACACACACACACACACACACACATTGTCTGTGCTTTCCCATGTGATGAAAACAAAGGCGCCAAGACATCGCAACTTTCGTGCAAATACCCGCACGGCTCTTGAGAGCACTCGCTCGAATGCGCAGCCTGCAACATCTCCCAACATCGTTCCTAAAAGCCGGCAGCGCTTGGGTTTCGGGTTGAAGCCTGACTGGCAAGCCAGAACACGCAGCGGCCCACGAGACAGGAGACTTGGGAGGGAGGAAGCCTTGAAATATGTGCCCCACGGCAGCAACCACTGTTCCTCGCCCAGCCGGCCACCTCGCCCTTCGGATCCCCACGCTGCCTATTTCTCTCAGCAGCCAGGCTGGGCCTGAAAAGGGGGAGCCTGGCACATCTGGGCACTAGCACATCTGGGGGTGGACAGACAGCTGGAAGCAATCCTTGCCACTGCCCCTGAACGTTTTGCCTCCTACCTTTCTGCGCACCTTCGAAGCCAGGGCTTTCTGGAGGGTCCCAAGGCACCGCTGCCTCTCACGCGAGGGTCCCGCTTCTCCTGGGCACCGGAGGGCAAGAGGTCAGGGCCGCAGCAGCTGCCTGGTTGTCCCTGTAGGCCCCATCCACTAAGCGCACCCTCCTTCCCCTCTCCTACTTCCTGGTTGCGCCTGCCCTGAAGCTATGTGCGAGTGTGTCAGACCTTCCCCAGCCGACTGCCAGAGCTGTAATATTCCTCCAAGCATGCAGGGAACCTGCCTTGGCAAGCAAGGCGAAGGCTTCTCCCCCCACCCTTTCTTTTCGCAACAGCTCTCTTCTTTGAAAAAGGTCAGGGAGACTCACCTGAGATAGATCCGGGCTGATCTTTTTGCAGTTGGCTCTCTCTCTCTCTCTGCCTTCCAGGGAGATTTTCCTCCTACGAACCAGAGCAGGTGAACAGAACTTTTGAGCTGGCTGCCTGGGCAAATTGCTTGAGCTGAGTGGGAGGGATGATTCGGTCTGGCGGTGTGTTTTTCCTTTTCTCCCCCTCACTTCTTTCTTTCTTTCTTTTTCTGGTTTCTTTTTTGTACATCTAACCACTCCCCTATTTCTGTCTGCCCACTTCCTTAAAGAGCTCAGAGGAGGAGGAGTGTGTGTGTGTGTGTGAAACCAGGGCATGAATATTCTACAAATGGGGACTACTTCCGTCATAACGGCAAGCAGACAAAACAAAAATCTTGGGTCTGCCTGTCCCAGAAAAGAAGGGAGATGTGGCCTGCGATGGGTTCTCTTTCGTGGAAGCAGCTTCTGTGGGTGCAGCAGCGTGCAAGCTTTCGGGTCACACAAGAGTCTGCCAGCTACCAGATAAAGAATTCTGCGTAATACTGATGTTTGCACATCATAATGGCAATAGGATAGTACCTTTGAACAGATCTCCTAGCAGTGACCCAAATTTAAAGCTTAAGCATGGCAAAACCAAAACCAAACCCTAGCAGTTTTAAAAAAAAGGAATGGAGTTTCATTCTGAGCTAACATCTTCCAACCCTGACAATGGGTGGGGAAGGTATTCTTACTTGCAAAATAAGTGTGCCCCGTTCTCAGGATTGAGTAGCAGATCTGGAACAGAAGGAAAGCCTGGCTGCTGGACCAGACAAGTGGCCCATTATTTATTTTATTTATATTGTATTTATTAAATTTCTATACTGAGGATCACAGGGCGCTTTGCAATATAAAAACACAAGAACACTTATACCATCTAGTTTGCCACTCTCTTTTCCCAGCGGCCAACCAGGAGCTTAGTTGCAGAGGGAAAAAAGAATGCTTTAACGGTTTTCAAAATGAATCAGATGCTGATGGAAACCTGCTCTTCTTTTTTTTGAAAAACATGAAGATTTAGAATGTTGACTCAGGAAAGAAGAGCGAGGTGCCTGGGCCAGTTTGTTTGGGTTTTCTTCTTTGCAGAAAAGTAGGCTCAAGGCCATCAGACTCCTTGTGGTTTTAGCTGCACGGCTTTTGAGAAAAGGCAATAGTTCAACGGTGGAGGATCTTTTTTGCATGCAAAAGGTCCCGGGTTCAAACCTCTGCCTGAAACCCCTGAAAGTCACTGAGCTGGATGGATCAGGGGGTCTCACTTCCTATATTCCTATGTGTTGGGCTCCAGGCTTCAACCAACAAGAAACTGGTGGGTTCTGTGTCTTGAAAGTGCTAGAAATGAACAGTCTTTATCTCCCTGCCGCCACTACCCCTCAGTTGCCAGCTTCACACCTAGACCAGCTCTGGGCGCCATGCTCAAATCCAGAGGACGCCACCTTGATAGCAGGAATTTTTTTTTTGCAAGCCTAGAGTGGGAGATGAGGCTCTCTGCCTTGCAAGTTAGATGTTCCCAGCTGGCCAGAAGGGCAGATGGGTCAAGGGGTTGAGGTGCTGCGTTTTCTCCAAAGAGCTTTGGAGGAATAATAGAGCCTGTTCCCTGTAGGATTTGCCATGTTATGCCGGATCCGTAACTCACTCTCAAAGGGAGCATTGACATTGCAAAAATTTCCCCTGCGGCTTGGCTTTCAGAGAACTCGTGTAAGCGAACCAAGCCACATGGAGCAAGGGGAGTTCGGCTGAATCCAGCCTCTTCTTCGGAGCAGGTAACAGGCAAAGCCGGGAAACGCAGAGACTGCAAACAGCAGCTTCACTTCCCCCACATCACAGCCCTCTGGTGACAACCAGCCTCTGGGACCCAATGGAACAAAAAAGTCAATTTGCAGCATTTTTCCTTTCCCCCCTCCAAGACCTCGAGAAACCTGTGAGCAAAGCTCCGCACATCACCACTTCCTCCTCTAAGAAGGCAAAACTAGGAAATATTGAAGAATGCTACCCAGCAACCCTAGAGCACTGGGGTAGGGAAGCGTTTATTCCCATTTCCCGTCACTTAAAAGCATGAACTTACTTTTAACAGGGTTCCCGTCCGTCTTTCCAACAAGCCACTGTTCCAACTGATGCCTGTGGAAGGAGGCAGGTGAATTCTGAGGGACGCGATGGGGGACTTGGAAAGATTTCAGAGTTAAAAATAACAGCACAGAGAACACCCACACACCCCACGGGTTCTTGTGCATGTGCTGCCACCACGTGGCCCTGAAGGGTAGATGCTGCGAATGAGAGAATGTGCGTACTTACATGAGAAGGCACCTTCCTGAATCCAAAAACCAAAGCCTCATTCTCAATGCATCAGGCTGCAAGTGGGACAAGGAGGTTCGGGTGACTGAATGCAACTCCTTTCAAAATGATTACGGTGATACCGACACATCCCTGCAGTTAGAAAGCTAGCTTCTCCCTGATAGGCTAGTTTTCTGTGTGTGAGGAACTGTTTCATATGGAAGGATGCCCCATCGTGCGAGCCTCTACTAGCTGGCTGAAGTGGCACAGTCCATGTCCCCCATAAATCTGAACAGAAGAGCGGTGATTCTTGAATGCTTCGTACCCACCTGGATGTTCCTCTGCAAGGTGGTCCATTTGTGCAGCTGGATGCCAGCAGATATCTTGTATGGTTCAGTCTGTCAAAGGCAAAAGCACCCTGGGATCGCCAAAATAACAGAAATTTAGCTGTCGGTTCTCCTTCTGAGATACATGCAGAGAGTCCAGCAAGTCAATATCCCAGAGTCTGGACCATTCTACAGTACTGGCCCCGACTTGGTGGAACGCTCTGTCTCATGAGACTAGGGCCCTGTGGGACTTGACATCTTTCCGCAGGGCCTGCGAGACAGAGCTGTTCTGCCTGGCCTTTGGTTTGGACTCGATCTCACCCTTATGTTTCCCTCCCCTTACGGTTTTGATCTACGGGCTACTTTTAAAATGAGACTGCATTTTAAATTGCATTTTAACCTGTATTTTAAATTGTGGTTTTTTTCCCTATTATGTTTTTACTGTAATTTTACTGGTGTTAGCCACCTGGCCGGGGAGGGTGGGGTATAAAAAATTATTATTATTATTATTAGGGCAGCGGGAGCCTGCGGGCGCCCAAGCCACTGCGTCACTCCCAGGAGAGATGCGTGGCTCGGGCACACTGCAGGCCCCATGGTGAGTGCCGCCCGGCATTTTGTCACCCCCCTCAGTGGAGACACCTGGGGCGGCCCGTACCCACTCCCCCCCTTCCTCCACCCCAGCTGAGAGGTTATATGAGAGCTATCACAGGTAAGGAGCAAGCTTGCTTTCTCCTGCTCTGGAGGGTAGGACTCGAACCCATGGCTTCAAGTTACAAGAAAGGAGATTCCAACTAAACACCAGCGGCGTATAAATAAAATAATAATAATAATAATATCTTTATTAATTTAAAATAAATACATTTATGAGAAAACAGACGTACATACAAGTAAACCAGCGTACAAACAAATAACAGGAAAATCAAACAAACCACCACACTATAAGATACAAGAAGATTAATATAATTATCATCATATATACTCCTAATACTGAACACAATTATAAAACTTATAGAGAAATTTAAAACTGACTTCTAATTAACTTCACTGTACTTTAGCTATCCATTACTTTATACCGCAGTGTTATATATATAACATATATATATATATATATATATGCAGGTTTTGGTGTCCTCGGGTGTCTTCCCGTGTAAAAGTTGGGGTGTCTAGGCGACGTTTCGACGAGGTCTCACTCGTCATCTTCAGGCTGGTGCTTTCGGCTTCTTGTTACTGGAACAGAGCAGGATCTCAGTGTTTGAGTTCCTATAAATACTGTTGAGGGGGTGTGGTGTATAGCCTCCAATGTTCTGGGCAGAGAGGAAGTTCCCAGGCTAGTGTGCCTTTTCTTCTTTTGTTCCTTAATTACTTGAGGGATATCTTGAGTGATTTCTTGAGTGATATCCTGAGTACCACTTAGGTGGGTCATTAGGTGTGGATTAGTTGCTAAAGCCTTCGTGTCTTGACCTCTTGAACTTTGTGAAGAGTTTTTCTGAGAAGATGGCTGTATTGCATTTAGTTGTGCTCTGGCTTGGCTTCGTGTATAGGGGCGAGCTGTGGTTTTGTGTCCTGTGCCAGCCAGATCTGTGTAGGGATTGCAGGGGGGTGCAGCATCCGGAGGTGCCACCATGGTTTGGCTACTGGATGGTGTCTGTAATTTATCTGTGGAGAGGGTCTGGGTTTGGGTCTGGTGTGGTTGATTGGTGATGGTGTTCTGTGTGCCTCTGGATCTGGTGTCGGTTTTTGTGGGGAGGGCTAATTTCCAGATGTCTGGCAGGCGGGATGTGTCGTCACGCTTGTTCATGTTGTGAGGGTGTTTCTCTATCTCGATGGCTTCCATGATTATTCTCTTGTGGTGATGTTCCATGTTAGAGAGCAATTTGGAATCTGCAAAATTAATTTCGTGTCCTGTTTCTTTCATGTGTTGGAAAAGAGAGGAAGTTTTTTCTTCTTTTTTGACGGCATTCTTGTGTTCTGCGATACGTGCATTTATTCGTCTGTTTGTTTGTCCAATGTACGTGGCTGGGCAGACTTTGCAGGGTATTTCATAGACCCCTTGGTTTTCCAACTGGATTTTATCCTTGGGGTTTCTGAGGATATTGGCTATTTTTTGGTTGGTGCAAAAGGCTGTTTTGATATTGTGTTTATGGAGGATTTTGCTAATTTTATCTGTAGTGCCCTTGATATAAGGAAGGAGGGCCATGCCATTGTTTTCTTCTGTGTCTTGGTTTTTGGGGGGTGTTTCTTTTTGCATTAGCTTCGTAACCCTGTTTTGTTGGTATCCATTGGAGATTAACACATTGGAGAGATTCTGTAACTCAGTTGTCAAGTGGTCTTTGTCAGCCAGGCGTTTGGTTCTGGAGATGAGAGTCTTGGCTACGGAGTTTATTTGTGCAGGGTGGTGGTGTGATTGTGCATGTAAGTAGCGGTTGGTGTGTGTTTTTTTCCGGTAGATAGTGTGTCCTAGGGAGCCATCAGGTTTTTTGTAGATTAGGACGTCAAGGAAGGGAAGTTGGTTGTTGGCTTCTATTTCCATAGTGAATTGTATTTTGGGGTGTAGGCTGTTGAGATGTGTGAGGAAGCTATCTAGTTTTTCCTTCCCGTGTGGCCAAATTACAAAGGTGTCGTCAACATATCTGAGCCAAAGTTTGGGTTTGTGTTCTGACTTGTCTAAAGCATTGGTTTCAAAGTGTTCCATGTACAGGTTTGCGATGACCGGTGAGAGTGGTGATCCCATAGGTGCTCCTTCTATCTGTTTGTATCTTTGTCCATTGTGGATGAAGTACGTGTTGGTTAGGCAGTGGTTGGTAAGGTCCAGGATGTATTCGGGGGGATTGTATTTGTTTTGAATGGCTGTCAAGGCTTCATTAATGGGCACTTGTGTGAAGAGAGATACAACATCGAAGCTCACAAGTAGGTCATTGGGATGTAGGTTTTGCTTCTTTATTGTTTCTATGAACTGGAAGGAGTTTGTAACGTGTGAAGGGATGGATTCTGCATAGGGCTGAAGTTGCTTAGCGAGAAATTTAGCGAGATTTTGTAGAGGTGAGCCTATGGAGCTGACTATTGGTCTGAGTGGTGTTCCTTCTTTGTGTATCTTGGGGAGGCCGTAGAGTTTGGGGCATCTGGATGATTTTTCTCTGGGGATGATTCTTAGCTGGATTTCTTCACTGATAGGAGAGGCTTTTATTTTGGATTTGGTGGTTTTTTCCAGATAGGTGGTGGGATCTGTTTTTATAGGTTGGTAGGTAGGGTCTTGGAGTAGATTTGATAGTTTTGCTTGGTAGTCCGATGTGTTCATCACAACAGTGGCATTACCTTTGTCTGCTGGGAGAATGATTATGTTGTTGTCTTTCCTCAGGTTGGTGAGTGCTTTCTGTTCTTCTTTGTGTAAATTGCTTCTGGGTGGTTTGCTGGAGCAGAGGATGTTGGTGACTTCAAGTCTGATTTTATTGGCTTCATCTGGGTTGATTTTGGTTAGGCTAGCTTCGACTCCGCATATGATGTTTTCCGTGGGGATGCGTCTCGGGGCGACTGCAAAGTTGAAACCTTTGGAGAGTACTTTGGTTTCAGTTGAGGTGAGGATCCTGTCTGATATGTTATGTACTGTTTGTTTCATGGGTTGTTGTGGAGGGTGGCTGGGCTTCTGGCGTTTCTCTAGTTTGTGGAGTTTGTTGGTGTGTGTGTCTGTCTTATGTGAGGTCTCAGTTTCAGCTCTCCAGACGGCTAGTTGTTTGCATTTGTCCCAGAGTGCAGGGTGGATTTTGTTACAGAGTTTGAGGTGAAGAGTGAGTAGATCTTTGTTGGTTTGGTTTAGTAGGTATCTTTTCTTATGTAGTTCGTTTCTGATTAGGGATAGTTCAGTTCGTTTCAGGATCCTTTCGGTAGCTGGGGTTTTAGAGTGGAATTTAAGTTGGAAGCATGTGGGAATTAAGTTGTTGTCTCGGCAGTTGCGTAGGAACAAAGAGATCACATAAGATGGTGGCTCTTCGGATTTCTAGTTTCTCGTAGGTTCTTGTCAGCTGGAAGGTTTCCTCCCCGTAGAGGTGAGAGGCTATACACCACACCCCCTCAACAGTATTTATAGGAACTCAAACACTGAGATCCTGCTCTGTTCCAGTAACAAGAAGCCGAAAGCACCAGCCTGAAGATGACGAGTGAGACCTCGTCGAAACGTCGCCTAGACACCCCAACTTTTACACGGGAAGACACCCGAGGACACCAAAACCTGCATTCCTGTACCCGTGAAAATCTACGAAAGCAAATATATATATATATATATATATATATATATATATATATATATATGTATGTCTTTGTGTGTGTGTGTGTGTAATTATTATTATTATCAGCACAGCATGAAACTCTTAATCTCAGGATCGGTTCGAGCCGCACTTTGGGGTTGGACTAGATGACTCTCGGGTCCCTTCCAACTCTACAATTCTATGATTTTATGAAAACCAATATTCATTTCATCGCCCTGCAAAAAAAAAAAACTACAGAACTCAAGCAACCTCCAGCAAGATCAGGGGCAAAACATAAATGGTTATCCACATTTATTTCCTTGGTTTCTGTCCTTGCTCCTAAGTTTGTCCTTGCATACTTACATGTGGCCTCCTCTTATTATCAAGATCGCTTTGTATTTTGTCTATCTTTGCTAACCAACGGT